GAGAAATGGAAAGAGAAACATTGATGTGAGAGTGAAACATTGATTGGTTGCCTCCTACTCAGGCATGTGCCATGACCAGGAATCAAACCAGCAACATTTTGGTGCACGAGACGATGCCCAACCAACTGAGCCATATCGGCCAGGGTGGTGCTCGCCACCTCTTATTGGCCCCTTTCTCCCTCTGCAGTCTTGCAATCAAAATGTCCTCAATTTGGTTTAAAATGCATAATATAATTCCTTTCTTTGTGGGGGGATTTCTAAATGCTCAAATTATTTAGGTAGCATTTTATGTGCTCATCTTACCCACTTAAAAATTATGAGATCATACAGAGGAAATTTTTTCTTGGATTCGGCTCTTTCCTAGTTCACTTTTTTCTTTTTATTCTTGGCTTTGGTTAAGCACCTATAAAAACTCTTCAAGTTACAGAGAAATGAAAGCTATTTCTGTGTAAGTCCTAGGTCATCATCTTTTATTTAAAAACTAGAGGCCTGGTGCACAAATTCATGTACATTGAAAGGAAATTAATTATAAGAAATACTTTAGAGGCTGGGGAGGTTTGCTGGCTTGGGGAGGGACCACGGGAGGGCTCCAGGGTGTGTCCAGCCCATCTTGCCCAGTCTCCATCGGCCAGACCCCAGCAGCAAGCTAACCTACCGGTTGGAGCATCTGCCCTCTGGTGGTCAGTGTGCGTCATAGAGACTGGTCTAGCAGTTAGACCAGGGGTGGGCAAACTTTTTGACTCGCGGGCCGGATCCGGCCTGTGGGCCGTAGTTTGCCCACGGCTGCGTTAGACACTTAGCATATTAGGCTTTTATATATATATAGATGTTTTTATTAATTTCAGAGAGGAAAGGAGAGGGAGAGAAACATCAATTATGAGAGAGAATCATTGATTGGCTGTCTTCCTATATGCCCCCTATTAGGGGTTGAGCCTGCAATCCAAGCATGTGCCCTTTCTGGGAATTGAACCATGACCTCCTGGTTCATAGGTTGAAGCTCAACCACTGAGCCACGCTGGCCAGGCTAGGTCATCATCTTAATATCCAACCAAAACTATTATCCTTGTGAAGACTGGGTCTTGCCTCTGTGACTTCATTGGATTCAGAGTACAGACTTTTCCACAGTTAGATTTTTCCTTGCTAGATGAGTGATTCAGTTCCTTCCCTTCTCTCCCCACCCTCTCTCCCTTTTTCCTTTCATTCCTCCCTTTCTGCCTGTCTTCCTTCCTCTCATCTCTGTATATTCTGCTTGGCATCTGGATCTGAGGATTTAACAGTGGATAAGATTTTTGGCCTCAAGAAGAGGCCACAGTAGAGCAGTTGAAACAGACATATAGGAAACTAATCTGATAAATGTGATATCTCTTGTAAGTATAAAATATTAATGGAGCCTAGATGAGAAAGCAGAAGTAGTTACATGGAGCAAAGGTATGAGTTCACAGAGAAAGGGAATGTGAATGAGACTCTGAAGTAAGGGAGGAGTCTGTCAGGTGAGGATATTGTGGACTTAGGTGTTTCCTATGCTGATTGTAGTGGCAGGACAGGGAAAGAAGGGCAGGACATACATTTTCTAAAATTTCCCACTGTTTCAGCACATATTATACATTTATACCCTTCTAGGTGTTTAAAGAATTAGATTAGCATTAGCATATGCGTGGATATAGCTATAGCTATATCTAATTATATTCTAGATTTCCTGGCTTAAGAATTTGCAGTTACTTTTCATTTATCCATGATTTTGATAAAAGATGCTGCAAGTATTAGATGGTTTGGATTTTTTTCCTATTAGATTTTGAATTTGAAAGTAGTTCCAGCATGATAAAATTAGAGTTTCTAAATCCAGTTATCACCAATGCACATGATCATTTTCTCTGATGCTGGGGGCGGGGAAGAGAGTTGCTTGGGAAGGGGACTCAGCTAGAGCCATTGGAACACCCGGTGTGATGTTGTAGGAGCTGTGGTTTGTTTGTTCTCTGTAAAGATTTAGTGCTTATCTTGAATTCAAGTATTTTTAAATGACATCTATGACTGCAATGAAATGGACAAATGCATTGAATGGCATAGATATTTAGAATACATTTTAATTAAATGTCTAAAATAAATTGAAAAAACGTGTATTTCAGATCATTACATTTTGAGTGCAAAGTGCAATGCTAATTCTGCCAGTAGGTGCCACTAAGAACACCAGGAAAAGGTTTCTAGGCGGTAACCACAGTAAATTGAAATGAGAAATGCAGAGCTTGGTTACTTCAACTGGAATTAACTTCTCTCTCACAATTGCAGGATGGTTCAGCAATTTGCCGTGGACTTTGAAAAGAGAATTGAAGGCTCAGGGGATCAAGTAGATACCCTGGAGCTCTCAGGAGGTGCGAAAATCAATCGCATTTTCCACGAACGCTTTCCTTTTGAGATAGTAAAGGTTTGTACCAAACGTTGCTTTCCCCGTTGGTTTCACTTCATTTCCATATTCTGTTCTGCATAACTTCATAAAATGTTACGGGGGTGGTATGGGACTAAGGTAGTTCTTGGAACGAAAGCCTTCATAATTAGGTAATGAAATTTAGGAGAGAAATAATTTCTTACTGATGGCCCCAATTTTATTCAATGAGATTTCAAATTATTTCAACAAATACTAATTGAGTCCCTATGATGTCGATTTATTGTCTAATTAATTTAAACATATTTCTTGAGCACCTATTCTAGGTGCCAGTGATTGGGACAGAGACACTGTCTGGTGGGGGAAATAGACAAAGTTAAAGAAATCTCAAGTATGATCATGTAACAGAGAGAGAAAGAGAGAGAGAGAGAGAAACAGAGAGAGAAAGAAAGAAAGAGGGTGGGGGGGGGCCACTTTTGATGGCACATTCAGGCAAGGTGTCTCTGAGTAGGGGACATTGAAAACATGAACACAATGGTGTGAAGAGGTCAGCTGTGAGGATGGGGAGGAGGGGAGAGGGTTGTTCAAGATAAGCAGCCCAGGACAAGGCCCTCAAGCAGGCATCTGTAGCAGGTTAAGAGCAGATGGGGCTGACCAAGAGAAGGGCGTATAAAATGAATACAGAGGAAGAAAGTGCCCAGTTAGGGTGGATCTGTGACTTGGGACGTAAGGTCCACAGAGCTCGGACTGAATCTGGGAGATGCAAGAAAGAGAACATTCAAGGTGACTCCCGAGGTTTCGGCTTGCACAGCTGCGCACGTTAGTGCCCGTGAGATGAGGAAAACAGAGGCAAAGCCGAGCCTGTGTGTAAGCATGAATCCTGTTACGGGCAAGGCACTCGGGAGGCAGCGAAGTGGTTCAGGGACTAGGCTACTTGCCCCTCGTACAGAGGCGGGTGCTTATGTCTTGGTGTAGGAGGCAGATGGGTAAACAGAGCGTTTCATTAAAATGTGCTAAGGACAGTGGTAAACTTCAGCACAGGGTGCTATGGAAACACAGCCCACAGACAGGAATCCCTGCCCAGAGCCTCAGGAGCCTGGCCTTCAGCGGAGTTTGGAAGGATGAGCAGCTAGTTAAGCAGGAGGAGGTGAGGGAGGGGAAGAGTTTTCCAGACAGAAAGGGAGGCCTGGTGAAGGCTGAGCTGTGCAGCCACAAGGTGTGGGAAGGGAACGAAGCATTTCATTGTTGTGTGGCCCCAAGTGCAGGGGAAATGGACAGTGAGGCTGGAGAGGCCAGATCTCGAGTCAGGCCGAACCACATGCTCTCTGGATGCCCTTCCAGGTCCTAGCTCCATGCTGCTCTGATCGTACTTCCCCATGCATTCCAGGTCGAGTCCCTAGACCTTCTGGGAAATTCTCATACAGCAATCTGTCTGTGTTGGATTGGCAAAATATTATGTATTTTCTCTTACAAAGAGGCCTTGAGCTCCGGTGGTTAAAATGGCCATCTCAGCACAGCTGGACTGCTATTGCACGTCCGGTGACACCCTTATTCGTGTATCCGTCTGTGAGGACATTTCCTACATTTAGCAAGAGAATGAAAAATTATAGATTTCAAATGAGCGGCCAGATTTATGTCCAGAAGGCACCTTTGATACACGGCACTCCTATCTGAAACGGAGTTAAAATCGGCTACACTAGAAATAAAACTCCCAGAAACCCCTCATGTTCTCTGTTGCCTTGAACTTTATATAAACAGATGTTTTGACCATCTGGGTTTAAGTTAGGGAAGACACGAGCATCCACTTATTAACAGTGAAGTCAAGCTATTCTCATTCTTTAATATTCAATAGTATTATTAGTCAACGGAATTAAGTGTCCTAACTGTGGCTCATCCTGCATCTGCAGATGGAGTTCAACGAGAAGGAATTGCGCAGAGAAATAAGCTACGCAATCAAAAACATACATGGTATCAGGCAAGTGATTCCCATTTTCTGTCCTCCGCTCCGGCTACTAGAAGAAGAAGGTTTATAAACGGCTAGCGAAGTAGCCTTTTCACCATCTGAGCCGAGCAGAGCACGGAGGTGGGAGGAAGAAGTAGGAAATCCTGGTTTGGGTTCAATGGTTAATTCCCGGGATCGTCATTCTTGGTCTTTTTCAATTAGAAAAACAGAAACACGTCTGCACTCCCAGCCCTGCGAGCTCGAGCCGGGACCCTTGTTCTCCAGAGCCTTCCTCGCAGGGAGGGAGGCCTGACGTGCTCATAAGTCATCGTTACTTACCCGGAGACAGGGCGGATTGCTTTTGGCTGGAGTTGTGGAGCAAGATTGGGAAAGATTAATGAAGGTGGTAACTTTTGAGTCGAACCTTGTCTGTTTAGAGGACAGGAATGATTTCAGTTGGCAAAGGGGTGCTGTATGTGTGTGTGTGTCTGTATCTGTGTGATGTCTCTCTCTCTCTCTCTCTCTCTCTCTCTCTCTCTCTCTCTCTCTGTATGTGTGTGTGGATGGGGTAGGGAGCAATGCAATGAGAATGAGAGGCTGGAGCATGTTGGGGCTGGAGGATGAAAGGGCTTGAAGTGCCAGGTCCAGTGCCAGGCAGAGGTGGTGCCGTGCAGCCCACGGAGCCGGGGGTCGCACACGTTGACTGCAGTTGGGAACATAGACCGGAGAGCAGAGGACGGGAGGCTGGGAGTGGCCCTGGTGCCCAAACTTACCCTTGTATAACGTGCATTTACTTTCTCTAAAGAACTAAAATAGAGGGGAAAAAAACAATTTAAAACACATTGCTTGAGTTCATGTTCGGAAGGCTAAACAAAATGTAAGGGAGCATACGTTAAATTGAGATGTCCTGAAGTCAGGCTGATAAAACTTAGGTTGCCCACTTTGTGGATTATCCTATAGGCGGGAAGCGCCCCCTGTCTATAGGTAGTGGTATCTCAGCTTTAACAGAGCGTGCTGTGTGCATCCACGTGCCATGTGTGCACATGCCGAGCATCCACGGTCTGTGCATCCACGGCCTCTGCGCCCACATGCCCTACGTGCACGTGCACGTGTCCTGCGCCCACGTGCCTACGTGCACGTGCCTTGCACCCACATCCCCTGCGCCCACGTGCTCAGCATACACGTGCTCTGAGCCTACTGCCCTGCGTCCGTGTGCCCTGCGCCCACATGCTCTGCATACATGTGCTCTGAGCCTACTGCCCTGGGTCCTTGTGCCCTGCGCCCACGTGCTCTGCATACACGTGCTCTGCGCCTACTGCCCTGCGTCCATGTGCCCTGCGCCCACGTACTCTGCATACACATGCTCTGCGCCTACTGCCCTGCGTCCGTGTGCTCTGCGCCCACGTACTCTGCATGCACGTGCTCTGCGCCTACTGCCCTGCATCGATGTGCCCTGCGCCCACGAGCCCTGCCCACACAGGGCCGAGTGGAGACTCCTTGGGGAACAGAACCTGAGAGGTGCCTACATGCTCTGCATACACGTGCTCTGCGCCTACAGCCCTGCGCCCACATGCTCTGCATAAACGTGCTCTGCACCTACTGCCCTGCATCGATGTGCCCTGCACCCACGAGCCCTGCCCACACAGGGCCAAGTGGAGACTCCTTGGGGAACAGAACCTGAGAGGACAAAGCCTGACCGTGAGTGTGAATGTGATGAGTGATTTCCCAAAGGAGTTGTGACATTTGAATGAGCTATTGTTTTAAAATGGAGACAGTCTCTGCACGTCTCAAATAGTGCGAGTACATAGCGTTGACCGAGAGGCTTTCTAAGTGTCTATTTTGACTTCGCAGAGGTCCTTGATTGTTTCCTTTTTACTTATATTTTATATCAATTGTGAAATTTCTTCAAATTTGTTCCTCAAGGTCAGCCTTCCCTCTATCTTCACTGTCATAAACTCGGGACCAGGTTTCTCAACCTTAATACTATTGACATTTTGAACTAGATCTATGGTTGGCAAACTGCGGCTCGTGAGCCACATTCGGCTCTTTGGCCCCTTGAGTGTGGCTCTTTCTAAGCCTTAGGGGTACCCTAATTAAGTTAATAACAATGTACCTACCTATATAGTTTAAGTTTAAAAAATTTGACTCTCAAAAGAAATTTCAATGGTTGTACTGTTGATATTTGGCTCTGTTGACTAATGAGTTCGCCAACCACTGGCCTAGAAGATGGCGCTGCCCTGTATCTGAGACATCCTAACGGCATGCCTATCTAGGCCCTAAAGTACACGTGTGAAAAGCATTGTGCCCAGTGGATTCTGTTGGATATTCCAATAGCAGAAACCTCCCTTGCCCACTGAGGCCCGGATGGCTCCTTCTCCGCCTGTACATGCTGAGAACCAGCAATGAGCAAGCGTGGGAGACAGTCCTTGTGGGATGAACACAGTCAGTGTGATCGTGACACTTCCTACCGGTGTAGCCAGGGGACAGCATGTGCCCCGATCCCTGCTGAGAGATGTTGGGGTTCAGAGGGAGAAGGCCTGGCCGGCAGTAGGACCGGGGCAGGCGCTGTAGGAAGTGGTCTCATGCAGGTGGGATGTGGATGCGCTCAAATTGCGGGGATTCCGAAGCGACCGTCACAAGACGAAGGCAGAGACCTAAACTGAGTGTGTGAGTGTGTTTGTGCAAAGGCAGAGGGCCCCGTGTGGTGGGAACATAGGGTGCACGGGAGGCTGGAGGAAAATAAAAGGAAGGGTAGGCTCAGATGGGGAAATTTTTTATGTCAGACTGAGCAGTGTGGATTTTATCCCATATCCGAGGTGGAGAATTACAGTTCCAATCTGGTGTGATCACTACAGTAAGAAATAGGGGTGAACAGAGAGTAGGTGATTAGGAGGGATGGAGAGTAAAGCTGATTAAGGGAGCATTAAAAACAATTTCCCGAAGGAGACATCATAGAGTTGAGTGTTGCAGGGAGAGGCGTTAAGGCAGGAGAGGTGAGAAGAGGAAGGGAAGAGGGTTTAGAAACAGGGAGTCAAGAGCTGCCGGTCTTTGAGGATGGCCCGTGCTCAGGGTCCGGGTTCCCTCGTGGACTCTGTTTAAATACGAATAAGCACTTTCTATGAAACACACACACGTGTGCTTTCTCGGACTCCTGCACAGCACAGGGAAAGCATTGTTCCGATACCAATTTGAATGGACTCTAGCCAAATGAAAAGGCACTTGCTATTTCATTTTTGTTTTATTGTTTGTAAACTCACCATTTCAACATCCTGGGTCCCAGGTTAGTTCTACTTAACTGCTTTCTTTTTCCTCCAGTTCCCCTCCCACCTCAGACTGGGACCCACTGCACTCAGTATAGTGAAATTTCTCAGTAGTGTCAACTGTCTCAGGGCTCAAAAATGAGGACCGTTTCCTGCTTCATGGAGGGCAAGAGAGGATTGCCTTTGGAGTACATTAGAAAGAGAAATGTCAATTTAGAACATTTCCATTGTAGCATTCCTTTAAAAAGCTGTGAGACTGTGAAATGAGACAAACTAATGAGAAGGCCAGATGATATGCCATATAAACACTTTGGGATCTATTTTTAGGTAATGTTAATCATCTAGAGAACAGAATGCATTATGAAATATTAGTATTAAAATTATTACAAATGATACTGTGGCTAGAATAAATCACTCTGTAACTTTTAAACTAGGTATTCACGCTTTCTTTAAGTAGCCTGTCAATCAAAACATTTTCAAATGAGTACTGGATATTATTACTCATTTAAAAAAAAAATCTAACATGCGGCTTTCTTTCTCACACTCAGGACAGGGCTGTTTACTCCAGACATGGCGTTTGAAGCAATAGTCAAAAAACAAATTGTGAAGCTGAAAGGGCCTTCTTTGAAGAGTGTAGATCTGGTAATGCAAGAATTAATCAACACCGTCAAGAAGTGTACCAAAAAAGTAAGCTTGAATTACTGACCTTTCCAACAAGTTTCTGTTTGGTTTACCCCTCTCTCCCACCCTGCAGCATGCCTTCCTCTGCCTGACTCCCTCCCCTCTTTTGTTAGATAAGGTGGTGTGTTTGCTCAAGGGGAAGGTTGTGAAAAGTACTGAGTGGGACTTGATCTCCTGGTAGATGGCGTATAGTCTTCTATCATCCATTCCACATAGGTTGCTTAAGCAGGTCAACATCACTTTGGAAGAACAAGGTGTATGCCCTAAACTATTTTCTTTTGGTGTATACCATAGATGAGGGTGATTGTTAGGGGAAGGGAATCATTGATATTGTGAAGGGAATTAAGGAAAGTTTCCTAAATTTACATGAATTCCACTTGAACCTGGACATTCTGGGAAGGGGCAGAGTGGTATAAGAGCTTAGCCTTGGGAACCTCGATTCAAATCTTGGCTTTGCAACTCACCTCTGTGTGACCTTGAATCCCTAGAGGTTTATAATTTCTCTGAAATGGGGATGATGAGAATAAATACAATACTACTTGAGTGCAGATTAAACAAGATGATGCCTGAGAATGGGGCCCTTAATGCATTAACTACAGTAACTGCTCAGTCAATGGTGGCTAATCTATTAATGGCCATTACTACCTATAACACCTATTGAATTGGGGGACTCCTCACTGAGGAACTTGGCAGAAGTGTGCTGGATTCCACCCATTCCATGGGGATGGGAAAGGAGGGCCCTGTACTGGAAAATACAGGAAGGGGGTGAGTGATGTTTGGGGTGCGTAGATCTAGCCCCATTGCCATTAACACTGGTACTTTGATCATTTCTTGAAAGAATAGATACTTCTAGTTTGTCAGTTTTGTTGCTTTCCCCTTTTTCTATGGTACTATGAGTAACCTCTCTGGAAACCAATGGGGAGCAGGAGAAAGAATGAGAGAGACAGATAATGTGACTGAAGATGAATTTTGGTCCCCAGTGACTGGCAGAACAACTCAGATGAAGGAAGAGACGTAAGTGGTGAAAGAGGAAAGCAGGCTGAAGTCCTAGACATCAGTGCAAAAAAAAGCAAAGGCATTCCGTGACCAGTGTGGGGTCCAGAAGAGGCTCCGGAACTGCAGACCGGCTCCAGGCCTCTTCCAGTTCTTCCATCAGGTTCCTTCCAGCCTAGTCTCTGTTCTCCAGAGTAAGCCATGGAAGCAAAGGGATTGAGGAAAGGGAAAGCATGCACCTGGGGGAGAAAAAAGTCTATACCAGCTCTCTACTTGGGAACCTGAAGCCAGTTAATAAATAATACTCCCCGTCCCCTGTCCTTGCCTACCCCTCAAGCGCGTAGTCTTGTCTCCTGACGAGTTAAAGCTCTCTTCATTGGCCTCCTCTTCACTGACTTAGGGAGTTAACCAATGCTGTTAACTCCATCAGACACCCAGCCTGCCTCCCTCAGCACAGAGGTCTTCAGACAAAGGCTCCTCCGGGTGCCCAGGCAATGCTGCCCCACCAGCTAAGCTGGCCTCTTTCTGAGGGCCCCTTGTGTTGCGGCCGTCCTCAAGCCTGTTTTAGCTAGTTGTAGTTCTCATATAAACTATGTAGTTTAAATGAAGAGTAAGTAAAGTGATCAGGTGCAGAAAAAAAACGAGTTTTGTTCCTCTGAAAACTCAGCTTTGGAGAAACTTGATAAAAGATTAGCTACGTAAGCTTTGCCATCGCCCAGGTCTAGGTGGGACAAAGTTAAAAGACATGGGGGGAGTCGTACAAACCTACATGGGCTCTGCGTTCAGCTTCTCCCCCTACTTTGAAGAAAGCAAACTTGTAGATTACGGATGTGGTTTATGGGGGACAGAAGACGCATAGCTCCTCTCAGCAGATCCATATGCTGGGAACGGGCCTTGGCCTTACATCAGAAGGTTGGCACATGTGTGCACATTTGTGTTTTGAGTTATAGAAAGTGTTTACGGTATGTATGAATCATTTTTTTTTTATCATTTCCAATTGCATCCAATTTACTGGAAAAGCAGCAGTCGGTCCTGATGGCATGGGATGAGACAGCTTGTTCTGGACACTTGGTTTCTGTCCTTTGCTGTCCACCCTTTGAACCGCCCTTTCCATTATGTTCTCTGTATCAGTGGTGATTGTGTATTTGTACTGTCTTCTCAAAATATTTTACAGTTTGTCTTAAATGAAACCTCACTTTTTCCCTGAGATTACTGTTTACCTTACAGCTCTCTTCACTGAAGAGCATTTATTGGCCCAAACCCAAAGGATCTAGGGCCCAGATCATTTGTCACTTGCCTACTTCTCCTTGTGTGGCTTCCAAAGATTGTGCATTAACTTTCCTGTAAAGTCTCCCATAAGGTCCTTTGGCCTCTGTTTTCTTCCAACTTATCCGTCTCCTCCTGGTTTTATTTTCTTTCTTGACCATTGTTACCAGTCTGTGTCCAATCAGAAGAGAGTTGAAACCACAGCGTGATTGTTAAAAAAAATACATATTTTTATTGATTTCAGAGAGGAAGGGAGAGGGAGAAATAGGAACATTAATGATGAGAGAGAATTGTTGATTGGCTGCCTCCTGCACGCCCCCTACTGGAGATCGAGCCCACAACCCAGGCTGGAATCGAACCCGGGACTCTTCAGTTGGCAGGCGGATGCTCTATCCACTGAGCAAAACCAGCTTGGGTGACCACACTGTGATTTGATAACAAAAACAAAAAGCTATCTACTGCCCTATTCCTCTCCTTTTCTTCATAACCAGCCTTCTTGGGGAAAAAGTAGTTTATGCTTACTTTCTTTACTCTCTCATCTCCAGTTAGTTCCTTAACCCTCTGAAATTTGACTTCTACCCTCCTCCCACTCTGCTGAAATAATTATGGCATGGTCATCCAGAGACTGATTGCCAAATCTAATGATATCCTTATCCCTGATACTGTGGTCCACTCTCTTTTTGAAGCTGACCCCTCTCTCTTCCATGGGTTTTCTTCCATCTCCTTTTAAGAGCTCATCCACTGTTGTCGACCTCTGCACATTGATGTCCTGTGGAACTGACTCCTGGTTTCCTTCTGTCACTGTCCTTCCTCCTGATAGGGCACGTCTCCCACAGTCCAGCTGCCACATAAATTACTCTTGATTTCCAAATCTGTACTTCAGCTTGAGCCTCTTTCCTGAGACTGTCTACTCTACAGTCTATTGCAACTATTCTCTTAAGACGCTGAGCAGTTTTTTTAAAAAAAAAACTAAATTAGTCCACTGGCCTCCTAACTGATCTTTCTACCCGTCTGGCCATCCTCAAACTCATCCTCCCATAGCTGTCAAAGTAGCCCTCTACGATACGGACATCTATTCTCCCCGTTGTCTCAGTATTTACTCATTGGTTTCTCATACCTTGAGATAGTTCCATTCATTCATGGTTGTGCGTAGTTTTGCCTTCTGGACTCTAAATACTTCTCCAGCCACACTTGTTGTCAGTGTCTGCTAGCTCCAGTCATTCTGAGTGGTTTGCATGCCCCGGAAATGTTTTTATGCTCTTAGCATTTGCACACGTGGTTCTCTGTTTAGAATGTCTCTTTTCTCTGCCTGTCTTCACCTGCCATCTCCTCTCATTTTTTAAGATCCAGTTCAATCATTGTC